CATCTGATCTCTGTTGTAAGGACAGCACCCCCAAAAGCCCTTTTTAGGGCTAGAACATCAGTCTGCTTTTTTTTCTGTAATGTAATTCCAGTTGCCTGCCTGCCAGCCTGTGTGTCAGGCTCACAGTGGATACTGTGCCCACTTGCCAAGTGCCACCACTCACTCACTGGTGTCACAATAGCGTGCATTTAAAAACCCAAAAACTTTTTTCACTGTTATAGATTGAATAGCAGTTAGTTGTCTTCAAGCGGGTGTGTCAGGCCTACAACGTGTACTCTGCCAGTTCACAGTGCCACTCATATCTGGTGTCACAATGGCTTGCATTTAAAAACAAAAAACTTTTTTCACTGTTATAGATTGAATAGCAGTCAGTGTCCTTAAAGCGGGTGTGTCAGGCTCACAGTGGATACGGTGCCCAGTGCCACCACTCACTCACTGGTGGTGTCACAATAGCATGCATTTAAAAACCCAAAAACTTTTTTCACTGTTATAGATTGAATAGCAGTTAGTTGTCTTCAAGCCGGTGTGTCAGGCCTACAACGTGTACTCTGCCAACCTTTGCCAGTTCAAAGTGCCACTCATATCTGGTGTCACAATAGCGTGCATTTAAAAACCCCAAAAATAGTTTTCACTGTAATAGATTGAATAGCAGCTAGTTGTCTGCAAGCGTCTGTGTGTCAGGCTCGCAGCGTATACTGTACCCACTTGCCCAGTGCCACCACTCACTCACTGGTGTCACAATAGCGTGCATTTAAAAAACCCAAAACTTTTTTCACTGTTATAGATTGAATAGTAGTTAGTTGTCTCCAAGCGTCTGTGTGTCAGGCTCGCAGCGTATACTGTGCCCACTTGCCCAGTGCCACCACTCACTCACTGGTGTCACAATAGCGTGCATTTAAAAACCAAAAAACTTTTTTCACTGTTATAGATTGAATAGCAGTTAGTTGTCTCAAAGCTGGTGTGTCAGGCTCACAGTGGATACTGTGCCCAGTGCCACCACTCACTCACTGGTGTCACAATAGCTTGCATTTAAAACCAAAAAACGTTTTTCACTGTTATAGATTGAATAGCAGTTAGTTGTCTCAAAGCGGGTGTGTCAGGCTCACAGTGGATACTGTGCCCAGTGCCACCACTCACTCACTGGTGTCACAATAGCTTGCATTTAAAAACAAAAAACTTTTTCACTGTTATAGATTGAATAACAGTTAGTTGTCTCAAAGTGAGTGTGTCAGCCCTACAGCATGTACTCTGCCAGTTCACAGTGCCACTCATATCTGGTGTCACAATAGCGTGCATTTAAAAACCAAAAATCTTTTTTCACTGTTATAGATTGAATAGCAGTTAGTTGTCTCAAAGAGGGTGTGTCAGCCCTACAGCGTGTACTCTGCCAGTTCACGGTGCCACTCATATCTGGTGTCACAATAGCTTGCATTTAAAAACAAAAAACTTTTTTCACTGTTATAGATTGAATAGCAGTTAGTTGTCTTCAAGCGGGTGTGTCAGGCCTACAGCGTGTACTCTGCCAACCTCTGCCAGTTCACAGTGCCACTCATATCTGGTGTCACAGTAGCTTGCACGCATAGTATCACTAATCGAAAAAAAAATGACAGGCAGAGGCAGGCCACCCCGCAGGGGCCGTCGTGGTCGTGGTGCTGTGATTCCCTTTTGCCCTAGAATAATGCCCAGTTTTCAGAGGCCAGGTACCTTGAACTTGAAAAGTTCTAAGGACATAGTTGACTGGCTAACGCAGGACACCCAATCTTCTACAGCTTCCGCTCGGAAACCTTGACGCAACATCCTCCTCCAGCTTAGCTTCGGGCACCTCTCAAGACACCACTCACCCGCCTGCCGCCACCACCAACACTAGCACCACAGAGTACTAGTGTAATCTAAAATACAGATTATAATAAAAATATCATTAAATACTATTATGTATAAACCAAAGAATTACATTAGTGATATCAAATGCCTAAATTACTCTAATTGCGCAATTTCAACATAGGGGGCACAGCTGACAATGTAATAAATATTACAAATGAGTTAGAATGTAAAGATCTATAACATGAAGACTACTGGGGTTCAGTCTGGGTCCACTTTGCTTTATGGAAGGGTCACTATAATTTTATAATTTGTCACAGAAAACTCACATTTAAATCTAATAGAATATTTATCTAAATAGACAGACACATATTTTTGTAAAAAAAGATGGAGATGATAAATGTTGCAGGTAGATTTTATCCTTAAAAAATATCACATATACAGCTACCTGACATTATTACACACCTTCTATTTTTTGTAATTATATTTTTATTGTTATCAATATAATTTGTATTTTTTTAGAAATTAAATGAGATTTCTGACATTTCAGTTAGTTAGTCACTTGGTCTCAGGTATTTTATTTTTATATTTATTTTATTTAATTAAACAAAAGCTTTTCCTTTTTTATACAAAGCCATTGTACATTCATATAAAACATATACAATATATAAATTTGATTGCGATAAAATATATATAGACATGTTCTCCACTTTTATAGAATATCACAGTATACATTAATACTGACAGAGATAATTCAGAGGGGAGATATGTAGAGAAATATACTCTCTTATAAATGAAAGAGCAATTATCTCAAGTCTTTTTAATCCTACCAGAAACAAATATATCAATACAGCAATATCCAAAAAAGGAAAGAAAAAAAATTAAAAAAGAAAAAAAAACACAAAATTCAATAAATACATAAAATTGAGAGTCAACATGAGGCCAGATTACACACCGATAGAGCCATGGTAATTATATCTGTAGACTATCCAGGGTGACCACAATTTATCATAAGACAATCAAAGACCAGCATTAAAAATGAAGTTATGTTCCATTCTATACTGAAATTCTATTTGTTCCATAATCTCCTTCCATGGTACGGGAATAGTTCTTTTCCAAGCCCTTGCTATGAAAATTTTAACTGCAAAAAATATATGGGTGAGAAGATAATTTTGGCACTTATCCTGGGATGGAAATTCCATGTTAAAAGCAACATTAAAGGGGAAATGTATTTTATCTACTACTAAGAATTCTAGCTGTATCAAACATACCTATGAAAATTTTGTTAGAAAATACAAGTTCCCCAGCTTTAAGATACCGATCCAAGATAAGATATATAATTTGTATCTGGGGCTGTCTTCCTGTTATAATATGGACGACGATTGATTTTCATTTTGTGAATTTAGCCACATACATAAATGTGATAACATACAGGCTTTTAGAAGTTTAAAAACATCTGGGAAGGTTATACCTCCTTTTGCATAACTTTTCTGCAGGATATATTGAGATATCCTAGGCTGCCTAACTCGCCAAATAAATTTGGAGCATATATTTTGAAACTGCCCAAGAATATCCTTTCTCTGCTCTATAAGGTATAGCCCTAAATTGGTACAATAATTTTGATATTAGGAATGCTTTGATCATATTTAATCTACCTAATCAAGAGGCCTCTAACTTTCTCCAATTATCTAATTGTATGTGAAATTTATTTAATAAAATATCAAAGTTAATTCTTAGTTTTGTTTGTTTTTTATAATTCTTTATTTTTGTGGTGCAAATATTTAACACACACTCTTGTAATGCCCCAATAGGAGTAGAAGATACAGATTTGAACAAGTACAGGGCATATAGGATTACTGCACACATTTTTTTACGTTAAGTAGCATAATCACAGACTTGTCAAGCATGTCTGAAGTACATGGAAAAGCAAGTTAAGTAAGTAATCAACGTGAGCCAGAAGTGTTAAAGGTTATGAAAAATTAGATTGTAGGACATGCTTATAAGACAGAAGTTTACAAAAAGTATAGTTAAAAATAAAATAAAGGAGTGAGAAATACACAATGCAGATTAAACTAAATGATTGGTTCTGAGTTGTGCAGGCTATATGTACTGTGGTTGAGCAGTAAGATGTGCTTCGTGGATAATCAATGAATATAAAGAATAATAGGTGGCTCGTAATGAATATACCGTTTATTAATATATGGTGAAGCACACATGAGTGAGGATTTTCCACTGGGACTGGTAAATAAGGCAAAGGTAAGTGGGCGTTATGAGTATTTTGGAGATGTGAGGAGAGAAAAGGGACAGTAAGACAGAAAATAATTTAACTGCTAATGCAGAATCAGGGTCAGTAGGTGTAATATCAGATCAGATTTGGATATTTAATTGTATATTTTAATTATTAAAGATTTTCTTTGGTACCTTTTTTGGTTGTACCAATTATCTTTATATATATAATACTATATACATTTCACTATTACCTGGCACCTTCGACTTCTGGACTCAAAGCAATCCTTGGTGGGGATTATTCCACCTATGTGAACACTTAGGAGCAGATAGCCTGCTCCACCATTGTGAGTACCATTCTTTTATTTTTATCTTCAAATATTTTAAATAGAGAGCACTATTGGTTGTGTCTTCTTATTCTCTTTGAGTGGCACCTACCCTTGAAGAAAAGGAAACTGCACCATATCCTACAGGCGGGGATCAAAACCGCTGTACGCTTTCCATACTAGAGCTGGCTATAGCTCTATCAAATGTGAGTGCTATAATATTTCCTTTATAGTATTCACTATATTCTAACGTACATACTACACTATCCTGGTCACCTGCTCTTATCTTTTCATATCATTGGATCCATCTGAGGAAGAACAGTGAGGACACTGCCTCGGATTCACCATCATTTGCACTATTGCACTTAAGGAAGACCTACTCAGTTAAGACACAATTTATTGGACTTTCTCTTTTTATTGGACTATTTTTAACTGCTGTTTTCTCTTAATTATTGGTTCTTATTTGGCGCAACTTTTAACCTTTTCCTTGTCCCATTTTGTCTAAAGGGTTTTTTGAGGGATTCCCTTTTAAAGTTGCTGCCTTATTTTGTTATTAAGCGCTAACCCTCTTTTTTTCCTTATTTTTAGTAATATCAGATCAGTGTGCCATCTTGTTGCAAGTGTCTCTATTCACCTGATATAAGAGGTTGGCAGGCTTTTGGCATAGGTCAGGGAGTAATCACAGGCACTCCAAGTTTTGGCAGTCTCCTGTGTTGCAGCTGCACAGTACCAGCTGTGATCAGCCGCTTGAGCAGGCCTCCCTGCTCTACCGAGTGCACACCACTGGCCTTGCTGAGCGGATTTCCTACGAAGGGGTTGGTTTGGTCTCAGATGTTGTGGGCTATATGTTGGAGATCTCCGTACGTGCCAAGGCCCAGACTGGCGGTGGCTGATGGTGGGTCTGCTTTTGGTGAGTTGGGATGTCCTCTTCCCCCTGCCCCCTCGCTTCATCGCGGTCAGAGGTTTGGTGGTGCGATTTGGTGCAAGGTTGGAGTTAAGCGGGGCAGTGGGTCGTCGAGAGGTGTCTGTGACAGCTTGGGTCTGTGCCAGTTTGGTCCATAGTTGTGCCCAGAAGTGGTCAAAGGCTTTCACTATGCTTCCCTCGTGAGGGATCCCGCAGTCAGGATTCCATGTGACCGCCATCTTAGCTTGGAGCATGTGGCCCTGTAGATCCTGTTGAGTGCCCCCTCTAAGTGTTTTATGCCTGGTCGATCACCGATGGGCACCCAGAGGGGACCAGGATAACCCCCACCGGTCCAAAGGGGGGGAGGAGTCCAACTGAGTCGCTTGGTGAGTTCAGTGTCGGCAAGAGCGGCTGCCTCTCTCCAGGTCCAACGCTAGTAGGCTGCAGTTCAGCATTCTGGTTGAGTTGGGGTATCAGTCAAATCAGCGGTGCACTAGCATTTTGGCTAGTGAGCCGCAGATATCACCCCAGAATACACACATTAGGCGGGAGCTTGTGCTGCCCGCGTCTGCACTGCTCTGTGGTCAGGCTCCACCCTCCCAAGGGAGATTTTAATACCCAGATTTCCTCCAAGAAAAGTGGAATTGTCAGACCAAAAGCTCTTCTTGGGCCGCAGATAAAAAGGAAGACAAAATTTTAGTTTTTAAAAAAAATATTAATCTTATAATTTGAAATTTTACTATATGAATCTATTGTTTCTAAGACCGAAGGAATTGAAGTCAAGGGATCCGTCAGGGTGAGAAGCACATCATCTGCAAAAAGAGAGATCACATCATCTGCAAAAAGAGAAATCTCACCATTTTGTGTTTTGATTCCCTTTATATTAATGTTCTGTCTATTCATACTAGCTAATGGTTCAATGGTAAGAATATACAGCAGGGGTGCCAGAGGGCATCCCTGTCTAGTACCATTTTTTACCACAAAGGTATCGGATTCAAAAAAGGATGGATTATTTTTGTTGAAGAGTTCGTATAGAGCAGCATAGTTTTATTTCTAAATTGGTCCAATTGACAAAACGCCAGTTGACTCTGTCAAAGGCCTTCTTGGCGTCGAGGGCCATGACAGCAGTTCCCAATTCATACTTATTGATCCTGTTCATTAGATTAAATATCCTGCTTCTCCCCCTGACGAAAACCAATTGGTCAATGTTGATTAGGTCATTAATAACCTCCTTAAAATGATTAGACATAATTTAGGAGAATATTTTCATGTCTATATTAATAAGTCATATTGGCCTATAATTAGTGATAAGTGATAGATCTTTACCTATCTTTAGTGTAGGAATAATTGATGCCAATAGCATTTCATTAGGAAAGGGGTTCTCAGGAGAGACCTCTAGAAAAACTTTCAGAAGAATAGGGGCAATAGTTCTAGAATTTTTTTTGTAAAACATAGCGGAAAAGCCATCAGGGCCAGGGGCTTTGTTTAATTTAACATTATCTATCGCATCCATAATCTCAGTTAATAGACATGGAGCATTCAATATGTCTAATTTTCTTTGATTCACTTTAAGACTATTTAAAAATTCTTCCATTTCCTTATTACTTTTCTCTACATCTTTTAGATTATATAGCGATTTATAAAAGTCTTCAAATGCCTGTGTGATATCTTATGGGGAGGATAACTGTTTATCTCCTATCACTAATTTTTTTTTTTTTATAGATTTGTCTTTAAGGTGGTTCTTGATTTTGTTTGAAAGATCCTTAGTTATTTTATTATTGTTATAATACTACCTTTGTTTGAGAAAAGCAATATTTTTGTTTACCTTATCGTATATTTTTTCTTTAATATATTCTCTTAGGATGGCTATTTCTTTCACAATGTCACCAGTAATCTTAGATTAATTTAACCGTTCTTTAATTGCTAATTTAAATTTATAATTCCTGGATAGTTCCTTCATGTTTCCATTTTAACCCTGAATCCAACTTTATCGCTAAACCTCTCGCATAGCTTTTAAAAGTACACCACAGCATTGGGGTGGAGACTTCACCATTATCATTAATATTTAGGAAAGTCTCAAATTCGAATGACAAGTTATTAATGTTGTATTCATCTTTCCAGATGGTTTCATTTAGTCTCCATCTGGTCCTTGATTTATAGTTATATTTCAGTTTGATATTAATAAATACCGGGGCATGATCCGATATCACTATAGATTTGATATTTGACTTAATAATTGATCCCAAGAATCCAGCTTTAACCAAACATTTTTTTAAAAATTTAACTTTATTAGATATAATGATGGCAACTCCTATTTTTTTTTGTTTTCCTTCCATGTTTGCATTGTAAACTATGGGGTATTTCCTAAACTGTCATAGTCTATTTGGGAGGTCAATACAGTGAGTTTCCTGAATGAAAGCAATATCTATACTGTTTTCATTCAGAAATGTATATACTGCACCCTTTTAGTGGAAATTTAAGCCCTGGACCTTCCAAAAAAAATGTGAAGCCATATTTATTGCTCCTATCAGTTGGCCGCATGTCGAATCTCATTCCAAAAATAAAAGTAACATACCTAAAAATACAAATAAAAACCAGATGACAAAAAAATCCAATTGAAAGAAGGGCAAATTAAATCCAGTGGGGAGACATGATTGTACATTTCCCACTAGATAAAACCTGCCAAAAATTGCAGAAATGAGGATTATGGGGAGAGGAGGAGATATCCCCTATCTTAAATATCCCTGCATAACAAGGCGTTGATATGGCAACACAAAAGCTCCTCTAGCTCCCGCTACCAAGAGGTTAACTACAAACTACTCTCCATGTGGTACCGAACACCGGTACTGCTTCACAAAATTTTCCCCAATACATCCCCAACGTGCTGGAGGTGCCAGGAAGAAAGGGGGATGCTTATACACATTTGGTGGGAATGTAAACATATTGGCCCATATTGGGATCAGGTCAAATCCGACGTCCACCAGATTTTGGGGGATATCACCTGGTCGGTGGAACTAATCCTACTCCACGTCTCCACACAACCACTATCCGCATATAAAAAATCCATCCTGCGGCACCTGCTAAACGCTGCAAAATCACTCGTACCAGTGTACTGGAAAAAAACAGATATCCCTACCAGGGAAGAATGGATCCATCGAGTCGAGGATATCCGAGCGGCTGAAGCTATGCAAGCGGAGCTGACGGGCAGGGGACCGAAGTGTGCTGAACTCTGGACTCCGTGGTTTACCTTAGCGCACAGCGGTAGGGGGGTGCCGGGCGGGGGTGCGGGCCGTGCGACGTGCCTATGGCAAGCGCTGCGCCCAACGATGACCCGCTGGAAGTGGCAAAGCTGAACCGTGCACCACGCATTTCTCTAAGATGGGTGGGAGACTTTGGAGGCACTGCCGACTGAGACAAACGGGTGACCACGTGGATCCACAAGGGGGACATACCCTCAAGGGAATAGCTGACGAACCTGAAGAAACCCCACTACATAAATATGAACGGGGATACGGCTGTACTACACATGACCCCCCCCCCCCAGACCCTTTCCGACTACTACATGGTATCGCAATCACGGTTGGGGGACCCTGATAGACTACATGACGAGGATACGCAGGCTAACTGTTAACGCGGACGATGGGCGTACACTGCAGCTTTGGATTTGCACCCCCCCCCCACTTCCTCGCACACTCGCCACATCGTTCACCGCTACACACTCCCCACATCACACCGTAACCTGGACAACCCTCTCTCCAACGGACCCATACCGCCCACTCATATACACTGTGGCTGCACACATATACATGTTACCCCACCACCCCATCCCTGCCGATGCCACTCGTATAAATACACCACAGGCACATATAGCACCTCAGGCACTATACGGATTCCACTTCACTCACGTTGTCCCGTCTCTTATGGGCCCAGCCCGACTGTACGAGTCTACTACATTGACATAATCCAACGACTTAATAGAGACAACAGCATACCTAACTATGGGCACTGGATATGAGCGAACATGGGAACTGTGATTGACTCTCTCCCTCATTGAAAGCTCGATGTAGATATCAACTGCTTATTCACTGTATCTTCATGTTTTTATGACAAATGGGGCCTGCGAGTCCGAAATGCGATATACTCACCTACACACAGGCACACATACCACCTCCGACACTATACGGATTCCACTACACTCACATTGTCCTATCTCTCACGGGCCTAGCCCAACTATACAAATCTAATACTTTCACACTTTTCGATAACTTAATTGACACAACGACACACATAACTATGGGCACTGGACATGAGCGAACATTTGAACTGTAATTGATCCTCTCCCTCATTGAAACCTCAATGTAGATGTCAACTGCTTATCCATTGTAACTTCTTGTTTTTATGATGACTGGGGCCTGCGAGCCCGAAATGCGTTACACCTATTTACGAATAAACTTGATTATCCAAAAAAAACTTTCCCTGGGACCACATTACTTGATGGGAGTACCGAACATTATTTATGCTCAGTTTTGTCTAATTTATAACAACTGTATTTACCAAAAGGATTAGAGAATTATCACAAAATGTGGTATTAAAAAGTGCATCTTATGGGAGCTAAGTGGCTCCTTATTATATATAACAAACATTCATTGCAATATTAGTTAAATTCTTTCCTTGTGTATATATCAATTAATTTGTTAATATTATTAAATAGATTTCACGTGATTTGCGACTCCATATGTGAATTAAAATAATAAACTTAAATAAAATAATAATCATAGATCCTAAAAAAGAACCCACATCATGGGGTTTGTTACTTGAATATTATAACAGTGCTATGTGGCTCCTTAAATTATTCCTATATTACTATTTAAATTCTTCCACTGCTTTTTATGCCTATATATCCATAAGTTGAAGAAACATACAAATGACTATACTTCCTGAGAGGTAAGAACCGCCTCCCCTCTTCCACCTGACACACTAAATCTGCTACTGATGAAAGCGATCAAAAAATATACGTGGCCATATTTTATAACATCAAAAGTCCTAACCTTACCAAAAAAAAAAAGAAGTTAGACCCATCAAGCATATTATATCCTTCATACAATTAACTATCCTTCAAACTAACTTTATTGCATTCTACGAAGAAGTAAGTAGTAAGTATAGATCAGGGTGTTGCAGTGGATGTGATCAATTTGGATTTTGCCAAGGCATTTGATACAGTTCCACACAATAGATTAGT